TGTTTTCTAAAGTTTCAGGTTGGTTTCTCTAGGAAGTATATTGTGGCAGAATAAATCACTTAGAAAAAATGGTCCTCTTCCTGAAGAAGGATTCTCAGAAATTACTTAAAAGGCCTAGTTCAATAGAATTACTTGAACTCTTTCTGTTATATGTAATATATTCAATATAATTTTGCTCTTCTGTTAAAAATTCAGACTGATCCAAAATTTTTGTTAATAGTTCTAGGAATTTGTTAAGATAGTTTTTTAGTTTTATGACTTGGGCTTGATTAAAATCTTGTGGTTCTGGGCCTAGTTAAAATCTAATTCTCTTTTATGATTCATGCATAAAATTTTCAGGGCTCTACAGCATCTTGGCTGTTGGCTTTAATCTACGTCGGTTTCAATAAATTTCATGGTTTTTCAGAATCAGGAAAGTAATCCTTTTGTATGACAGCTTCACCTTGTTGGTTGTCTTGTTCTTTTCATTCAAATCTGATAGAATTCTGAAAGTTACTGAATTTTAAAACCAAATAACCTATCACAAATAATCTTTGAGGTAATTCATCCAATACTTGGTGTGCTAATAATCTTTGTGGTAATTCATCGAACACTTGGTGTGCAGATGCATTTGGTGCGTGGAAAAGCTAATCAAGAATCCTAGATTGTGACAACTGGCCAGTTCTTATACACCGGTGTGGCCGGATTGGCCACCGACGAGTGAACCCAGATCCTGCCAATGACGGTTAGCCGACGTACACGCTGGCCAAATTTTTATTCTTCTCTGATTTTTTTAAAAAGTTAAATAAATAAAAGATTGAAATTGAAGAAAGAGGTTTAAATACCAATTTCCAAGTTGGTGAAGGTAATTGTGATGCGTCTGTAATTTATAGGTATAACCGTATAAGTAATAGTATTCCTATAATAGATTTTATGCAAACTATTGAGAATGCCGTTTTACCGTTAAAAATAATGTCTTAGTTTTAGCAATGGGTGGGAAAATGCTTTTTTCAAACTTTTTGGGTGAAAAATATTTACGCCAAACCTTGGGTTGGGACTTGGGAAATTGTCATTCTCCCTTTATATAACCCTTTAAATTAAAAAAATAATTATATTATTCATACTAAACTGAAACCTATTTATTTTATATATATTGGTTTGTGATAGAATTAAATCAAAATTTACGTACTATAATTTATATACGTATTGACTTGTAGTATTGAAGGACTCCCTCAAAGATTAAACACTCTGAAATTCTTTTGAAATAAGAAAACAATTTTAAACTAAACAAAATTTTATTTTCCACAAGTTTTGACTTTTTATTTAAGTAGACCTCTCATGATAATTTAAGCCATATATATTGACAGAATGGCAATTCCTATAACACTTTTACCATCCATGTGAACCTCACGCCAAAAACATCCGAACTGAGAGAATCTCCACGAAGAAGAAGATGCTAATGCAAGCTTCACTTCAGATTTCTTGAAAGCAAACAAGAAATTCAAGAACAAAAGCCACTGCATTAAGCCTCTCTATTAAAACTGCACAGCCAAATACATTAAAACCAAGATCAAAGAAAGCACAGCCACCATAATATGCCCTAGATTGTACTGTCAACAAGTTCTGGATCTCTCGCCGGGAAACAATCTCACCAGTGTTTTTTCAAATTGGGTGGATGTACTTTGTGATAGTTATGTTCAGAGTTTCAGAGGAGTTATTGCCCCTAATGGGAAGTGCGGAGTTGTTGATGAACGTGTGGTGGGAGTGTGAAGAAAAGAATGTCCAAACTGTAAGGAACTAAATCTCGCCAGCGGGAACGATGCAAGGTGTCTTGTCGTGGATACTGGACACTGTATGAGCTTCACCAGGGCTTGTAAATCTATCAAATGCAGGTTTAACATGAAAATACTTCTCCATATTTTGAGGTTAAAAACCTTTTTTTTTTTTTTTTTTTTTTTTTGAGTTGTGTTTGATCTTCTCCCATAAGTTATTTTTACACTTTTGTGGTGACTGGTGAGAGTTTCAAAATATTTCTATTATATTTTATAACTTTATTTGATCTGTTCTTGTATATTAATTTTTTTATATAAATTATTATTAAAAAGCTTTTTTTTTATTTTTTATAAATTAATACTAAAAACTCTTTTACACCCTCCCAAATAGTAGTCTTCCTAACACTCTCACTCTCCAACAGGGTAAAATAACTCTTTCAACTTACGTCTTATTGACAACCTCCTTTAAGCTTGAAGTGACTTCACCCGAAAGTGTCATAATTTTGAAGGACCTTACAAACTTACCCATAGGAATATAATCAAGCTTAATACATGTTTCCCCAACGTCTCATTGAATTAACAATTTTCCCATAGTGTTATAAAACGACAATTTTCCCCTATTGCAATGTTCGTTAGTTAGGGTCGCTATTTTACTTGATGGATGAAGGTGAAATGTTTAATTAGACGACAAACCCTAAGAATGCTAATAACGGGGGAGAATGTTATATAATGAAAATTTAGGGGGGAATGGTACTATCACTCATAATTAAGGAAATGTGAAATTAGTAATGGGCCTATAGGCCGAAGGTATAAGATTGGCGTTGGCCCAATCTCTTTGACCCAGGATTAATTTCTTTCAGATGCCGGACTGCTTTTGCATGAATGTGGGAAAGCTATAAGGGAATGGGAATGCCGCGGCTATCGGCATGATTTTTATTGGCTGCTCAGCTCTTTGTTCTAATTATTTACTAGCTGTTTTTCTTATTTCGAGCCCTTGTAATATTCTGAATTGAATTGAAAAAAGGTTAAGCCAATAGTTCTCTCTCTTCTTTAAAACAGCAAGCATTCTACTGATCAAACTACAGAAAGTCTTTGCTTCACGATTGAGTTAATAACAATTTCCTTCGATTTGGGGTGCATTATATATTAATTACTACAATTTTCTGCCTTGACTCTGGGGCAGCGGAAATAAGAAACGGCTCAATTAGCAACTGCTCACGATGTTAAGTATCAAGTGATAAATATAATTTTTAATCCTAGTCAACACAAAATCAGACTTGGGTTAGGATAAAAAGAGTTCTAGTCCGAAATTTAGATAATTATGTATTCCTAAACCGAATAGATTCTTATGGATTCAGAAAACTAGGAAGAGCCCTATATACGTAACGATTCTTAAAAAATAACAAGTTGGCCACGAAAAATTCCATAAGATTACCATGGGAAACTCACTGCAAAACCAGTGAAAACCAGAGAATCTCCAACAAGAAACACAGAAGAAGATGCTAATGGAACTTCACCTGTGGATTTGCATCGAACCCATGTCCCACAATAAAATTCAAGAACAAGAACCTTTGTGGTCACCCTTTCTGTCTAGACTGCATAGCCAAATATATCGATTCAAGATCGAGATCATACGGCAAATATTCAATGCCCTTTACTGCCAACAATTTTTAGATCCTGTCCGTGTAGACTATAATCTCACAAAGTGTTTTTTCAAAGTGGTGTGATCTTCTCTGCGATAATTATGTTCTAGGTTTTGAAAGAGCTATTGCCCTGGTACGAATTGCATGGAGTGTGTGAACGATTGTGGTGGGACTGTGAGAAGATTAAGTGTCCAAACTGTAAGCGATTATTCGTTTTCAGTGTAAGTTGGCATGGCATACAGGGTATGGATGTGCAGAAAGTAGAAATATGAGGGATCGGAATGATATCTTGTTTGGCCAGCTTGTTGAGAGAAATACATGGACTAGATGTCCTGGTTGTGGACACTGTATTGAGCTTCGCGAGGGCTGTAAATCTGTCAAATGCAGGTTTTTATCTGAAACTTTCTCTTCTTCTTGTACAAATAATTAAGAATTAACTTTTATTAACGAGAGTTTCAAGTTTGAATTTAAAAAATTCCATAAGATATTGACTAATTATTAGTTCGAATTTCAATGTGAGGTTTAATTTTTGTTTGTTTTATTAATTTAATTATTTTTTGGTTGCAGATGTAATACTTGGTTTTGTTACAAATGTGGGAAAAAGCTTTATACTCCTTTGTTTATATGCAAATGCAGCCAAAACCCTTGTCGTTGCTGGCATGTCACCTCTACTATCGGCTTATTTATAATTGTTATACCTCTAATAATTTATATTGCTGCTGTTACTTCCTGAGATTAATTCTCCAATCTTGTAAGTTGGCATGGCATGCAGAGTATGGATGTGCAGAAAGTAGAATCATTCTGAAAGTATTGTAAATTTCTCAAAGAATGAAAGAATGTATTCTACATTATGTCCTAATACATGAAAAAAATCTCAAATCTCTTGTTTGAGGTTCAATGCAACCTATTACTAATCTACATTATGTCATGTCAAAAGTACGTACAAAAATTTTGTAGCTTTTTAAAGAAAGAAGAAATCCCAAACTTATTTAAATATATCCAATGCAAAGATCAAGATGGGGAGGAATGTTGTGCAAGTTGCAGCAGTGAACCAAAGGTTCAGATCATCGCTCAAAGTCATCCCTGTCATCCCCACAAAACAAAATCCGAGGGCAGTACAGCCGACACCGTTAATGATTCTCGCAGCATGTCTAGGCCTTCTGCCACAAACTAAGATACCGTAGAAGCAACACAGAAACGCTATAAGATTGCAAATGGTAGCAAATTGCTTGAAAATTTTGGCTTTATGTAATGAACTACTTCCACCAGACCCTTGTGTGAAGAGACCGGGAGCTAATTTGGCAGCCACAACGAGTGTCGCCTCTGCCAATCTAGTACGATTTAATAGTGGTTCTGCTCCCTCATTTTCAGGCTGAAAGAAGGCCCTTGCTCTCTCAAGAAATGATGCATTTCTCTGTCGTTTGAAATCTGAATTTGGAGGCACATGGGTGGAAGTCTCCTTCTCCAGATCAGATAAGGACGCCGTTGTGCTCTTAAGCAGCAATTCCAATTCGCTCAATCCAATCTTAAAATATTCTCTTTCTCTCTCAGTATCAGATGACACCCCATTATTCGAACAGCTTGCTTCATTATATGAAAAGTTGGCTTCATCCGAGCTGCGAGCAAGCGGTGTGGCGCAAACTTCGTTCGTTGTAGAGTTAGACCAAGCATATACGTACACCACATTGGGGAGAGGATGGGAAGCTGCATCAACTTCTAATTCCTTCAAAATATCATTACAAAGCGGTTTGAGTAAGTGTTCCTGGGGAATATCCAAAAGCGATGGTACCTCTAGTCCTAAGGCTTTGATTTGGTCTTGGTCTGCCTCAAAAAAGCACCTCGAAATTATTCTGGGAGACAAACCCTTCAGAGTGTAACCTGTCTCAGCAGTGGTAATCATGTATCTTACACCCTCTTCAGAACGACATGGTACTTTTAACTTGCCCAGTGGCACTGCGTATCTCCTACTAAACTCACAGAACTCACAACCGCATACAGATTCAGGACTTCGTCCCTCATAGCTGGACTTTGGACATTTCTTTTTGCGAAGTGAAAGGTATTCAAAAACAATTTTAGGTTGTGAGCGAGCAAGTTGAAGCATCCAAGGATTGAGCAAAGTTGACTTAGAAAGAAAATTTTAAGCTTTAGACGAGCTAAAACCATGAATCTGGCGTTGTGCCGAGTAGCTTTCATCATGAGGAAGACTTAGTGTAGGGTGACCAGGAAGATGAAGTATTTTTGCTAAAGCATGGATATACATATCCGAAAGATAATCCTAAGAAAAGAATTAAAATTAGTATATAGGATTTATCAAAGATGACTATAAGCTCATGGGCTCACTTTAGCACACTGACAGAGAATCAAACCATATAACATTAAGCCTATCAAGCAAGCATCCAAGCTACATCATAATAAAGAACTAATGGAAGAATCAAGAAATTAACTATGTGGACAATGAGTAAAAAGACTATATATTTTCAGAAAGAGATTATTAAAGCCTTAAAAAATTAGTGTAGGAAACAAAAGATCATGAGAAAAATTAGAAAAGCAGAGCACTTTTTACCTCGAGATTTTCTTGCCCGGAGAATGGAACTGATCTTGGGCTTAAGCCCTCAATAGACCGAAATAACCTGTGATCAGCCGTTTTCTTGAAAGATACACTGTTGTGATAAGCGGCAGCCCAGATTTTCTTGAAAATATTCTTGAAACCTGGTGTCAAGAAGTGTCCTGGGTTGGGCAAATTCCAAATTGATGGAACTTGTAAACCAGCTGCTGTGATCTGATCCTTATGTGCGTGAGAAAAGCACCTTGAGATTACCGTCGAACACAGACCCGTCAGCGTATACCCTTTGTCACCGGTGGTGACCAAGAACCTGTTACCAGTTGCATTTGATCCAAGATTAATCTCTTTCAGGCTCTCTAAAATCTTGAGTTCCAAATCATATTTCTTTGCAAACCAACGGAACCCCGACGCCGATAATAGTGGTTCTTTAAGTTCAAGGACTTCACGATAGTCACTGACCATCTCAGGTTTTAACGAAAGAAATTGCAGCTCCCAATCAAGAAGCAATGTTGTCCGACTGAGATAAGTATTAGCACCAGATTGGGCAGGCTGGAAAAGAGCTTTGAAATGATCCATCCTAAGGAACTTCTGAAAAACAGAAAGTCGGAGAAGTTAAATGGTCACCGAGCATTTAACCAAAACACAAGAAGAAATTAGCAGGTAAGGTTCTCTTTGGTAGTAAATATGTAAAAATAACTTTACTGAAAATTTAGGCCTGTAAATATGTAAAAATTATAGAACAAAATAAAGATTACTTGAGAAAATCGGTTAGACGTTATTATTGACTATCAAATTAAATATTAAGAATGGGCTCAATATAATTTATTAGGGTATCTTGTACTTGTTTGGCAGTCAAGAAAGTTGAGGAAAAAGAGTAGAAACGAAACCCCTGGAGTTTCTTGGCAAAAAACAGAGAGAAAGAGAAGAGGTAAACGTGGAAGAGTTCTGAATAAATCCGCAGTTGAAAATCAAAATGAATTAGAGTCCCAAACCCTGTTCTCTACGTACCCGTTGTAAGATTAATGCTGGATGCTTAAGTGTATGAATTTCATTTGACGAGCATTAAATAGGAAAGGCTAAACTCCCCTATTTTGAAAAATAATAGTTACCTCCCTTTAACGTCTACTAAAACAGTTTCGCGTAGACCCCACTTTTAAAAAAATGACAGTTACCTCCCTCCTAATACCTAACGTCTACTAAAAGAGTAAGGGAGTTGGTGTTTAATCTTTTAAACTAATGAGATCCATGGGTATTCAGCAAACCTGAAGGGCTTATATCACTTACCCAATAGGAATATAATCAAGTTAATACATACTTCCCCATGTCTCACTGAATTAACAATTTTCCAACAGATTTAGAAAATAGCAATTCCCCCCTTTTGTCAATGTTTCGTATTTTACTTGATGGATCAAGGTGAAATGTGCAAATTGAAGACAAAAAACCCTAACAGAATACATAATGACTGGGGAGAAATTGTTACATAATGAAACTTTAGGGGGAAATAGAATGTGCTCATAATAATAAGGGAAAAGTGAAATTGTATAGGCCTATAGGCCAAGTGATATATGAATTGGCCCAATTCTTTTGACCCAAGATTAATTTCGCAAGAGTCTGTTTGGGTTGTACACAGTGTTGTTAATAATTAAGGACAGAACTTTTATTTAAATAAAACAAATATAATTTTAATTTATGATCAAAATTCAAACAATTTAATTTAATGTTCTAATTGCCTAATTCAAATCTAATAATATATTTATTCTATATAGAAGGATATAAGACAATCCTAAAAGGACTCTAATTACCTTTTCAAATCTAATAAGATATTTAATCCTAATTATAAAATGAATAAGATAATTAATCCTACTCTCATAAGATAAGCATAATTTTAAAGGATTTGACCTAATTATTTAAATCTATTCTAATTCTAAACTAATCCTAAAAATTATGATATCGAAGCATAATTTAAAGTTATAAATAGGAATTATCAATATAATTATAGCTTATACTTTCAGTTTAGCACACTGACAAAAAATCAAACCATATTGCTCTTAACAGCTCTCCACACGTTTCTTCTAAATTTATCGAAGTTCTTAAGCAAGAAATCCAAATGACCAATTGGGAAAAATATAATCTGTGTTTTTCCGTACTGTGGCTTCTCTTCTACGGCTACTTTGCGATCAATATGAGAATAATGGAGAAACCGTTCGTAAACATGTGGGTTCGATGCCCTTAGATTTCTGTCATGTTCTGCTTCACAGGTTCTTTTGGTGCGTCATTGATCGGGAACAAGCCATAGTTTGCAGCACTTCGCATGTTTTACTTTGTAATCTCAATGGTTTCGATGGCTTCAGCTTTGTCGATTTTGGCTTCGCTTTTGTTTCCAAAGTTTCAGGTTCATTTCTCTAGGAGAAGATCACTTAGAAAAACTGGTCCTCTTCTTGAAGAAGAATTCTCTGAAATTACTTAAAGGCCTAGTTTAATAGAATTACTGAAGTCTTTTGTGATATGTAATATATTCAATATAATTTCGCTCTTCTGTTAAAAATTTAGACTGATCTGAAATTTCTGTTAATAGTTCTAGGAATTTGTTGAGATAGTTTTTAGATTCATGACCTGGGTTTGATTAAAATCTTGGTTCTGGACCTAGTTGAAATTATATATTCTCTTTTATGATTCATGCATCAAGTTTTCAAGGCTTACAGCATCTTGGCTGTTGGCTTTAATTATGTCGTTTTCAATAAATTCCATGGTTTTTCAGAATCAGATAGTATTCCTTTGTGACAGCTTCACCTTGTTGGAGGTCTTGTTCTTTCATTCAAAATGATAATTGTGAAAGTTTCCGAATTTTAAAACCAATAACCTATCACAAATAACTTTGAGGTAATTCATCAATACTTGGTGTGCCAATAATCTTCATGGCAATTCAACAAACACTTGGTGTGTAGATGCATTGGTTCATGGAAAAGCGAATCAAGAATTGCAGATTTTGACGACGGCCAATTCTTATACATGGTGTGGCCGGACGGCCACGAGAGTGAACCCAATCCTGCCAACGACGGTTAGCAATGTACACATTGGCCAAATTTTATTCTTTGATTTTTTTTTTTTTAAAAGTTAAATAAAAAAAGATTGAAATGAAGAAAGGGTTTAAATGCTAATTTCCAAGTTGGTGAAGGTAATTGTGATGTGTTTGTAATTTAGGGTTAAAATACTATTACTACTAAATAGATTTTATGCAAACTATTGAGAATGCGCTTTAGCGTTAAAAATAATGTCTTAGTTTTAGCAATGGGTGGGAAATGTTTTTTTTTCAAACTTTTTGGGTGATAAATTATTTAAGCCAAACCTTGGGTTGGGAAATTGTCTCTCCCTTTATAAACCCTTTAAATTAAAAAAATAATTAATGTGCCATAAATGGCGCATATTCAAGGCGAAGCAAATATTAAAATATACCTTAATTACATAATTATAATGATAAATGATAAATATACATGTTATCTTTTTTAGTAAAGAAAATTAGACAAAATATAATTTTTAAATAACAAAATAAATTATACTTTAAAAATTTAAAGCTTTTCAACATATATGTATATAGAAAACCAAAGAATTTGAAATATCACCTTGGTATTACATTATTCATACTAAACTGAAACCTATTATCATATGTTTATGGTTTGTGATAGAATTAAATCAAAATTTACGTATATAATTTATATACGTATTGACTTGTAGTATGAAGGACTCCCTCAAGATTAAACACTCTGAAATTCTTTTGAAATAAGAAAACAATTTTAAACTAAACAAAATTTTATTTTCCACATAAGTTTGACTTTTTATTAAGTAGGCCTCTCATGATAAGTTAAGCCATATATATTGAGAGAATGGCAAAATTCCTGTGACAATTTTACCACCCATGTGAAACACTGCAAAAAACATCCGAACGAGAGAATCTCCATGAAGAAGATGATGCTAATGCAAGCTTCGCTTGCGAGATTTGCTTGAACGCAAACAAGAAATTCAAGAACAAAAGCCACTACATCAACCCTCTCTGTTAAAATTGCACAGCCAAATACATTAAAACAGATCAAGGAAAACACAGCCAGCATAAAAAGCCTTGGATTGTAGTGTCAACAAGTTCTGGATCCTCTCGCCGAAGGGGAAACAATCTCACCAAGTATTTTTTCAAATGGTGTGATGTACTCTATGATAGTTATGTTTAGAGTTGAGAGGAGTTATTGCCCATAATGGGACATGCAGGGAGTTGGTGATGAACGAGTGTGGTGGAGTGTGAAGAAAAGTGAATGTCCAAACTGTAAGGAACTAAATCTCGCTGGCGGGGAAATAATGGACAAGGTGTCCTAGTCGTGGATACTAGACACTGTATTGAGCTTCATGAGGGCTGTAATCTATCAGGGTTAACATGAAAATACTTATCCATATTTTGAGGAATTAAGGAGCCTATTTTTTTTTTTTTGGTAGTTGTAAGTTTGATCTTCTCCATAAGTTATTTTTACACTTATTTGTGGTGAGAGTTTCAAAAATACCCTAATATTTTAAAACTTATTTGATCTGTTCTTGTGATATTAATTTTTCTTTTATATAATTAATATTAAATAGCTTTTTTTTCTTTTTTTTTTAAATAAATTAATACTAAAAAACTCTTTTACACTCATCCCAAATAGTAGTCTTCCTAACACTCTCACTTTCCAATAACTGTAAAAATAACTCTTTTAACTTACGTCTTATTGATCAAAATCAGTTGATCATTTGAAGTTAATCGATTTTAATTTAATTTATAGGATTGAACCAATAGAACAAGCTAAGAAAGCAATAACAAGCATCTAAATTCCTTCCACACACAAAAACACTAGAGGGAGAGATAGGGATGAGAGCAAAGACTCTCCATATAGAGCTTTTTCATTTTGACAATTTGAACTCACAGTCAATGCATCCATCATATACTTTTCTTGCCACATACCAGAAGTTTAGTACATTACATTGCCTACAACGGTCTCAAGATCCATCAACCCGACGACAAACTGAATGATGATATAACACGACAACAATATCGATATAACTCAATTTAGTGATTGAGTTATACAACTTCATTACAACAAACAACAGAAGTTTGGAGGTTAAAGAGAGATGTACGGTATGGTAATCGAGCAGGGTTTCACAACTTCCTCATTAGGAAAAACCAAAGCAATCAAAATGTGAAATAAAGAAAACCGCTAAGTCACTTAGGCTTTACGAAATCCATTTCTCTTTGAAATCTGGATTTGACATACATAAATCTCATATCTCGTATATCAAATGAGCACTGTAACTAGACATGAACAAAATCATAAACACAAAGTAAATTGTTTTGGGTATGGATTCCTACGCTTTCAGTGTTTTCCCGGAGCCTTCATCTGATATCTTGTAGAGATTCCCATGCATAATGTATTCAAACTTGTCAGCAAGAGATTTCCTCCCACCCTGGAATAAAAGAGTACAATCGATTATATGGATATAATAACAACTATAACACATAAATAGGGAAACAGAGGACAGATATCAAAGTTCAAAACGACAATCATGCATACAATTTGAGGAGTTTTAAGATATTATTTGCAAGAATTAATATTACGGTCAATGGTTTCTCTTATTCTCCAATATCAAACCACTTAAATGATCAGGATAAATCAGTCAGCCTCCATTATCTCTTCAAATCCTCAACCTCTAAACAATCTTCTTTCCATCTTTTATATCAGAAAACTATATTCTTTCCTCAATGTCTTCTAACATGTTTTGCTGAAACTTTCTTTAGGTTAACTCAGTGCTTCAATACTAGTCCCTTCAGATGGAACAGTTAAAGAAGGCTGATGTACAGTCGGAGAACAAAAAAGCCAATAATATCATTATGCAAATGAGATGCTAAAATCCAACTCGGAAGCAAGAGTTGAACATCTTGAACATGTAGACTCTTCTCTAAAACTTAAACTTGCACATAACTTTGTAGGTTAAACACGTTTTGCAAGCATGTAAAACATTTTGCATAATTCATGAAGGGAGGAGGAACATTGCAAATTCCTAAAAGAGACAGCATGATTAATGCACTTTGACAATTATTCAGAGATGCTCATGTGAAAAGTAGAAAGACAAGTATAATCAATTTCCATAAACATGAGGCCACCTATTAGTAAAAACCAAAGAAGATAATTAGAGACTTCGCACAATTATTATACCCAAGCTAATTCTTTTCAACAGCTATAACATTGCTTGAGAAGACAAAAACACAAAAAATCCTTATAGCAATGAACTCAATACCACATAATATTACAAGAGTAAACCAACCTAAGTATAATAGCCAGTATCTGGTGTTCCATCCAGATTTAATGTGTGAGCCAATGCCAAAGCAAATTTATCACCTACACGCATAGGATATATCTCTACGTTCACATCCAGCAGCATGTACATGTCACAGTTCTGACTCAGTGCTTCAATGCGAGAAACTGCATACCACAACAAAACATAAACCTCAAAGGTCCAAAATAAAACTAACAAATCAAATAGAAATTAAAAGGTTCATTGAACATCTGGTAGAAACAACCAGCATAAAACTAAGGAGATTCCAGGGCAGAAAAACAATACATTATTCCTAGAATAATCACTTGATGATAATGTAGCTAATACTAGTATAACTCAAGTTGCATATTGTACACATATAAATAATATCTTAACCTAAAAAAAACAGCTATTAGTCTCTGTTCTTGATAGGCAATGTAAAAGCACCAGAGACATGTATGGAAATGCTATTCTATTAAACATTTTTGATAAAAAGTGATACACAAAAGCACCAAAAGAACTTTTTGAATTATAAAGTGCTTATTTTAATCCCAAAGATGTAACTGGAATTAACAGATTTTGTAATGACAGTGTTAGATGGCAGCACTAAATTTCCAATTGGTGCCAAACATAAAAAACAGCATCACATAAAAAAGCACCAACAAATATTAGCCGGTAAGGTTACTTTATACAGTTCCAGAGACACTCTCTCTCAGCCCCTTATTTTCTTTTTCTCCAGAACAAAAAATAATATGCGAACCATAGCCTTCCGGTAACATTAATCGTTACCGGGCTTCTCCTAAATAACTTCAAACATGGATACTGCACTACGTAGCATAACTTAGAGATAAAAGACTATCACATCAGACTTTTACTTGCAAAAACATTTGTTCTCTTTACTGAATATGAAAGCATTAAAAATAGGACACTTCCCACTCGCCATTACAATATTTTCACCTTCACCTTCACCTTCACCATCACCATCAACAAATAAATAAATAATAGAAGAAAAACACCACTGAAACTAACAAAGAATTCAACCACAATAATAAAATACTTTCCTAGGAGCTTTCTCTTCTCAGACAAGCCTATTTTCGAAAACAAATTGCCCAGTGCCACAAGGTTTTCTTCAACAGCAGACCCATTTAAAGGAAGAGCGACAGACAAAACAGCAAACAATGACTCAAACAATAAATAACATCTAACAACCAAGTTATCACCCACTTCATTAAACTTCGTTCACAACTTTGTTTTACAAAATTTCAAACAAATAACAATTCTAGCACTAAGAACTTCAAGAAACAAGCAGGCCTTAACAGTGAGCTGAAGCAAAAAAAAAAAAAAAAAAAAAAAAAAATCATTAAAGTAGCCATTATCAAGTATTTATGCTTAAAACCCATGTTTTGTTCTATAGTATTGAAGCTAGTGAATGGAGAGAAAATTTAACTCTCCGGCCATCCCAAGTTTCCATTTAACAAAATGACCTTGAAAATGTTTTTCATTTTTTTTTTTTTTTAATTTAGAGAAGCTGGTGTGCCATAGTTAGGATTCATTAAACACATAAAATCGGTTAAAATGAAAAGATTAAAACATATGTGGGCCGAATCTAAATAATGAAAGTTTTTAAAATTTGAAATTTATCAAAACAAGCCCCACCTATTCACCTCACTTAATCGAAATTCATTATGACAAAAAGCTATTTCTTGAACCAAAGGGAGACACTGTGATTTTCCGATCGACCCTGCAAATTTGCACACCATATTCAATCCTAAAATCAATTTTTTGAACCCTAAACGGAATACAGTCGCCGATTTCTAGGCGATACAGTCGTGATTTCCAAGCGATACAATCGTGATTTTCGATCGATTTCTTGAATCCTAAAATTGATTCCTGAACCCTAAACGGAATCTATGCGATTTTCGGCGATACAGTCAACATTTCTGATTGAAACTGCAAATTTTGACACCAAATTCAATCCAAAACCATGGCTGACACTCACAGTGAGGAGGAAAAAACAACGCCACTTCAAATCCTAGATTTTGATGGCGCAAGCAGTTCAATGGCTGCTTCGGTGGATCATCCGATCAGTGAAGGTGGTTCATAGGCAGAGGAGACGATGGCGGCACAACAACGGAGAGAAGAATCGCAAAACGGTTCTAAAGACGAGGAGTCAGGCGAGGAGGAGGAGTCCGGCAAGAATTCAAGCCAGAAGGAGTCTTCCAGGGATCATAGATATAAGATTGCTTAAGCAATCTTTTGTATCACTTAAGAGATTCTTTTAGTTTACTCTTAGTCGCTTAAGCGATTTCAGATCGCTTAAACGATCTTACACAAGGCAGAGTCAAGATCTCTTAAGCAATCCGAAATCGTTTAAGTGACCACATTGGTAATTTTTTGTTGCTAATATCTTGTTTATTAGTTGTTTTGGTTTATTTTTGTTGCTGACATTTTGTTTATATCGATTGTGCAGATTGTGCGGACTGTAAACTATAGAGACTACGAGTTAGACCTTGTAAGCGATAAGGTACCCTACTTTCCTGCAAGGGTGACGGTCAAGTCAAGTTGGGATGTTTTTGACAGAATAAAGGACATTTTAGGTGGAATGAGGCATGGTACAAGAGATTTTTGTCGCACTTGTTTCAATTGGTTTTTAAGCACCGGAACAAATTGGAAAAAGGCATTTTGGGGGCAGGGAATGCATTACATGTTGCTGCACTCAGTAAAATGCAATAAAAAAAAAAAAAAGAAATGTTGTTTGTGGTGGATGAAAAGCCACTACGTTTTGGGATGATGGAATATGCCTTGGTGACGGGCTTGGGATGTGGGGAAGTGCCAGATAAGGAGGCAGATGCAATAAGGAAGAGTCCGGGAGCCATAAGGTTTCATAAGAAGGTTTTGCAGGGGGCAAAATCTATTACAGGACAGATTTTAGAGCAGAGGCTAGAAAGAGTTGAATTTAATGATAAAGAGAAGATAAAAGTGTGCTTGGTTTTGTTTTTACATTTGATCTTATTGGCTGGTGACTCAACAAAAGCTGTTGAGAAAGATTGGTTGTTGTTTGCAAGCAACTTGAAGTTCTTTAATTCTTATCCATGGGGTCCATGGGGACGTATATCATTTGAGCGAACCAGCAACAGCCTGAAAAAACTAGACATGGCGTTAAAGCAGTCCCAATGGGTTGGGAAGAATAAACCAAGCATGTACAATTTGTTTGGCTTCCCATGGGCAATGCAGGTAAATATTAATAGCTTTTTGTTATATTTTTTTGTAATATATGTGTTTGAATTATGATATGGACTGTTTTTTTACAATGTAGGCTTGGATATATGAGGTCATCCCTGTCTTCACTAAGGCGGGGGGGGGGGGGGGGGGGGGGGGGGGGGGGGGGGGGAGAAGGAGGAGTAACAGTTTGGATGTGCAACAACAATTCCTAGGATGTTATGGTGGCATATCGAGAGGTGTATCCATTCAGATTACGAACAAATAGATATGAGATTCAAGCGGCTGGGGTAAGGATTAGCTTTGAACATGCGTTGCTTTAAAATGTTGCTTCAATCTGATTGATTTTATTTTTTATTCAGGGAGGTTGTTCGTCCCTTCTCACTGTTATGGGGATGAAGCGGAATAGGACTATATCACATCTTTCAAAGCACTGGAGGATGCAAGGGATGAACGGATAGACCACCTGATGCGGGACCTTAAAGGGGTCACGCATGTGACGGCAGTTGTAGGGCCACTACTTGACAACGTAGTTGATGCCAAGGATGATGAAGCTCCAATCGGCTGGAGGCCCGAGGAGGAGGAGGAGGTTCGTATGCCTTAGCAAATCGGTACAACAAGTACCGGTTTGCCGAGACATTGGTGTTGGGATAATGAGGTGGTTGACCTCATAAACGACCTGTTTCAGAGTTTTACAACAGCCGTTTATGACAGATTTGACAAGATGGAAGAGCGTATGAAAAGGGTGGAGGAGAAAGTGGATAAGCTAGCAAAGAAAGTTGGTACAGTGGAGGAGGAAGTTGGTGGAGAATTAAAAGCGGTTGAAGTGCAAACTAGGCTGAAAAGAGAGAGCTGAAAAAGCAAGTTTGTGAAATCGCCTTACATGGCAGTGACACAGGTAAAGAAGAGGAAAATTAAGAAACAAATGGAGGAAGAACCAGAAATGGAGGAGGTTAAGGAGGTTGGTGGAGAAAGTGGGGTGGTGATAATGGAGGAGGGCGAGGTGGGAGGCGAAGGAAGCGGGGATGTAAAAATGAAGGAAGGGGGAGGAAATGGGCAAGCGAAAATAAACTCAAATGTCGATTTGTATAGGCCAATAGAGGAAAAGAAAAAACTCTTCTATGCCTATTACAATAGATTAGAAAGTAATGGCCATATAAAGTGTAAGACAGGGGATTATTCCCGGGAATGGTTTGAAAAGTTGTTGAAGATGGGCACGTGACTTAAGGACTCGGTGAGTTATTTTCGCTTAATTTTCCTTATTTTTGCCTATGTTTTCTATACTTATCTTGTTATTTTTATTTGATGCAGCACATCGATGAGATATTGGCACTGATGAGGCTACGACAGACTAGTGATGGTGATCTATTGTATCTCGACTGTGCCATCACCGATGTGGCGTTTGGCCAAATGCTTGTTTCGACATATCGCACTTTAATTAAAAATGTCGTTGCTAGTAGTGAAGCAAAAGGAGCGAAGCGAAAAAGATTGGCCCCAGAACAGTTGGACTGCATCCTTGATGATTTTCAGTTTGATGACAGGATTATGCAGTATGTACGGGAGAATCGGCCAAATATGGCCATGGTTGGGCCTTTGTTAAAAGAGGTACTGCATCATCCTCGCTAAACAGATGCACTAGATAGCAGTCATCGTGCATCTAAAGGAAGGGTTGCTGCAGATCCTTGACTGCAACCCAACTATTTATCGAGACAGGTAGTTGGAGGTCGAGTTGGAGCCACTGTCCAAGTTGTTCCCTTGGTTGTTGCGTGCCAGTGGGATGTTTGGGCACTTGGGTGATCAAGTAGTAACTGGAAAGTGGCCACTTAAGCGCTCTACGGATCCAATAAATGAGTCAAGGTAAATTTTGTAGAAAACTAACTTACATAATACAATTGTTCTATAAGTTTATTCTAATGCTAATGTCTTCTTCCTATTATATTGTTGAATG